GAGAAGAAGAAAAAATGTCCTCAATCTCAAATATTTAACCGAAAAAGGAATATAGTCTTTCCCACAAACTCAAATTTTCTAATGCAAATATCTTTGCAACCTGAAGATGCAAACCTTTGATATTTCTAACTTAGATCATTTGATCTAACCAAATCAATAGTTTGAAATATCTAGGGTCAATAACATTGGGTGTTCAGATAAGCAATTAGAAAATCAGAGTTTGTGGCAAAAACTCAATTCCTTTGTGCGTAAAATGAAAACTTTAGGAGCTACGAGGTGACAGAGTTGTACCATGGCAATATCAAATAGATTTGATCTTCTCCTGTGCCTAGCTCTGTCTGATATATATATATATATATACGAACTACAGATGTTTATAAATGTAAACAATAAAACAAAACAATAACAAAGCTTTATGAAAGCTTTAAGAAATTGTTAAAAGACAAATTTTTGTTTGTTTTATCAAAACTATCAAAATTGCAAACATTTTAATAGAATTGATAACAGAATGTTAAGAATGTATAACAAATTTTCAACTTGGCATAGCTATCAGTGTTCAGAAAAATTTTTGAGAGAAATACCCAAAACTTTGTTACAAAATTTTTTTTGCTATAAATTCCTTCTTAATTAATAATTACATTTATTACATCAAACAATGTCTGTAATTTAACATTTTACACATTACAAAATATACATGTTTTGATAGCAATTTTACACAAAAAATATCTTAACAATTTAAGAGCCAAAAATTCTGGTTCTTTGAATAAACCAATTTATTCGCTGTCAGCACATTTCTTTTTACAATTGATAACATGATTTATCATCTAGGATGACGGATATTTTAATCTGTTGGGATATAAACAATAAACAATCCACTTCATAAAACATTTAAATAGTAATTCCTTTTTTTAATTATAAATTTTTCCTGTAAATGCAATTAATATCTAGAATTTCTTTTTTATCTTATTATTGAAATATATGATATATCATATGTAAATTTCATACAAAATTATTATTAATTATATACATTATTTTTATTATTGAAATGCATGATATTATCTCTAGCAGTGATATTATCTCTAGCAGTGCTGTTTGAACAAATTTTTCTGAATTATCTGAGACTCAATGCTTGATCAGTGAGCGTCCACAGTTCCTGGGCATCTCTAAAAAAATCGTTGATAACGAACTTGAAAACAATCGACTTTTACTGATAATCTGATAACGAACTTGAAAACAATCGACTTTTTCTGACAATCTGATAACGAACTTGAAAACAATCGACTTTACTGACAATCTGATAACGAACTTGAAAACAATCGACTTTTACTGACAATCTGATAACGAACTTGAAAACAATCGACTTTTACTGACAATCTGATAACGAACTTGAAGACAATCGACTTCTACTGACAATCTGATAACGAAAAACGTTAAAACAAGTATATTTAGCAGTCTCAACCAAACTTTAAAAAATCAAGAAAAAATCTGATAACAGCAGAGTACCCAAGAAAAAAAAATTACAATTTAAAAATATTCTTATTTTATTTTAATTTTTTTTTTATTTTACCTAATGTTTTCACAATCAGCTGAGGGTGAAGCTTCGGCACAATTCTAAAAAGAATAAAACCAACATTATAAAAATAAATATTTCCAAAGGAGATTTGAAAAAGTTAATTTAAAAATAAATAAAGTTGAGGAGCGTTTAATGGCTTTAATGTTCGCCATTATTGAACTTTAATTGGAATGATTCACACTTCCTAAACATATACCAGACACCACATTTAACAGATACCAGACACCACATTTAACATATACCAGACACCACATTTATAAGATACCAGAGACTGCACTTAACAGATACCAGACACAATCCTAAACATATACTAGACACTACACTTAACATATACCAGAAACCACAATTAAAGAAATCAGACACCACACTTAACAGATACCAGACACTGCACTTGACAGATACCAAACACTTCACTCAACAGACAATAAAGAGATACCAGACGCCACACTTAACAGATAACAGACACCACATTTAACAGATACCAGACACCACACTTAATAGACACCAGACACAATCCAAAACATATATCAGACACCACACTTAACATATAACAGACACCAAATTTAACAGATACTAGACACCACACTTAATAGAAAACAGACACAATCCTAAATAGATACCAGACACCACATTTAACAGATACCAAACACAATCCTAAACAGATATCAGACACTGCACTTAACAGATACCAGACACAACCCTAAACAGATACCAGATATCACACTTAACAGATACCAGACAATACACTTAACAGATACCAGACACAATCCTAAACAGATACCAGACAACACACTTAACAATACCAGACACCGCACTTAACAGATACCAGACACAATCCTAAACATATACTAGACACCACACTTAACATATAAAGAGATACCGACAATGCACTTAACAGATACCAGACACAATCATAAACAGATATCAGACATCACACTTAACAGATACAATAAAACACACTTAACAGATACCAGACATAATCCTTAGCAGATACCAGACACCACACTAAACAGATACCAGACACAATCCTAAACAGATACCAGACAACACACTTAAAAGATACCAGACACCACACTTAACAGATACCAGACACCACACTTAACATAATTCAGACACCACACTTAACAGATACCAGACACTTCACTTAACAGACAACAGACACAATTATAAAGAGATACCAGACACCACATTTAACAGATACCAGACAACACACTAAACATACACAAGACACAACACTAAACAAACACAATACACAAGACTAAACAGACACAAGACACAACACTAAACAGACACAAGACACAACACTAAACAGACACAATACACAACACTAAACATACACAATATACAACACTAAACAGACACAATACACAACACTACACAGACACAAGACACAACACTAAACAAACACAATACAAAACACTAAACAGACACAATACACAACACTAAACAGACACAAGACACAACACTAAACAGACACAATACACAACACTAAACAGACACAAAATTATTATTATTATTATTATTATTATTATTATTAGTATTATTAGTATTAATATTATTATTATTATTTTATTATCATTATTATTATTAATATTAATATTATTATTCTTTTTCTATTTAGTATTTACAATACAACAAAGCATACATTGGTTTAGGTTTTATTATCTTTATTATCATTTTTACTAACTACAATTCTTACATGTCTTTATTCTTTTATTTTATTTACATAACATATTTTTTATAAAACAGATTTACCTGGGAACCATTTTTTGGAGTTCTCAACCATGGTCTGTAGAAAATACTCAGAAAACAGGATTTTAGAAAACCTTAAAGAGACAGTAGACGTAATATCAAGTGACCCTCAAATTATAGAGTAGGTTATCCGATTCACAGAGATACTTCGGAAGATAAAGAATATATAATTATTATCTAGCGTCGTCTTTTTTTACACATTTACTCGGGGAGTTCTGTTACATAAACAATGGAGGAAATAATTGAAATTGAACAATGTTGATTTAACGATGATATCTTCCACATTATCGACCATAGAAATGTCTTGAGGGTACCGTTGTGAATAACCCATTCCTCTCTCTATATGGGTCAATTGAATTTACATTAACAGTCCAAGGGACTGCCAATATATATTTATATTTATAAATACTTTTATACTTTATTTTATCAAAAATCTTTATTTTCATGATCTTGACATAATTCTAATCAAGAAATAAAAAGAAATGTCTGGATGAAATTGACGTAATCTTTGATTTAAAGAGTGCCATTAATTATTCACAAAGCTGACGAGTACACACAGAATATACATTATACATTATTACACACACAGAAATTCAGAATAGGTCAGGAGGGAAATTCAGAATAGGTCAGGTCTCAGGAGGGAAATTCAAGATATCTCAGGTCTCAGGGGGGAAATTCAGGATAGGTCAGGAGGGAAATTTAGGATATGTCAGGTCTCAGGAGGGAAATTCAAAATATCTCAGGTCTCAGGGGGGGAAATTCAGGATAGGTCAGGTCTCAGGAGGGAAATTCAGAATAGGTCAGGTCTCAAAAGGGAAATTCAGGATAGGTCAGGTCTCAGGAGGGAAATTCAGGATAGGTCAGGTCTCAGGAGGAAAATTCAGGATAGGTCAGGTCTCAAGAGGGAAATTCAGGATATGTCAGGTCTCAGAAGGGAAATTCAGGATAGGTCAGGTCTCAGGAGGGAAATTCAGGATAGATAAGGTCTCAGGGGGAAAATTCAGGATAGGTCAGGTCTCAGGAGGGAAATTCAGGATAGGTCAGGTCTCAGGAGGGAAATTTAGGATAGATAAGGTCTCAGGGGGGGAATTCAGGATAGGTCAGGAGGGAAATTCAGAATAGGTCAGGTCTCAAGAGGGAAATTCAGGATAGGTCAGGTCTCAGGAGGGAAATTCATGATAGATAAGGTCTCATGGGGGAAATTCATGATAGATAAGGCCTCAGGGGGGAAATTCAGGGTAGGTCAGGATAAGTCAGGATAAAAATTCAAGATAGGTCAGGATGGTCAGGATAAAAATTTAGGATAGGCCATTAGAGGAGAGGGGGAGAATCCAAGGATAAGTCTTAGAACTTTGTCTATTAAAAGATCTAAACTTCCTTTAAACTTAATAAGTCTAAAACTTTTAGTTGACTGTCTAATTGCATGACATGATCAATTATATGATTATCTTAAATAAGAAACTTTTTTCTAGTTTTATTTAATTATCATTATTTTCAAAATTTTTACCTGAACTCTCTCTTGCATAAAGTTGCAAGGACCTGATTTATTACAATTTTAGTGTTGCAAGGATCTGGTTTATTACAATTTTAGTGTTGCAAGGACCTGGTTTATTACAATTTTAGAGTTGCAAGGACCTGGTTTATTACAATTTTAGAGTTGCAAGGACCTGGTTTATTACAATTTTAGTGTTGCAAGGACCTGGTTTATTACAATTTTAGTGTTGCAAGGACCTGGTTTATTACAATTTTAGAGTCGCAAGGACATGATTTATTACAATTTTAGAGTTTCAAGGACCTGATTTATTACAATTTTAGTGTTGCAAGGACATGATTTATTACAATTTTAGTGTTGCAAGGATCTGGTTTATTACAATTTTAGAGTTTCAAGGACCTGGTTTATTACAAACGACCTTTCAATCAAACTTGAATCCAAGCAAAAGTAAAAATATTTTTCCATCATTGTTGATATTTCTTAGGCAAAGTTTCAAAGGGTAGGGTTTAACTCATTTATTCATATCAAATTAAAAATAAACTGACAGTACCTTTAAAATGAAAAAATAACAATTGATTATCGTATAGCGGTGCAATAGAAACTGCTGACAAGTTAATGCTGTCGGAAATGGCATTGCAATTAACAGCTGACAAGTAGGGGGTTAAATGCATGAACTGCTGACAAGTTATTTCTAATAAAAATGGCGGACTAACCTGGATTGGCACAGTACACGGTGACCCCAGTTCCATCCAATCTTCGGCCCAGTTCAGCTGAGTGCAGAACAACACACAGCTGAAAACCAAACCAAATATTAAAATAGTTAAATTATTGATCGCCATAGAATCATATTTTCTAGTAAGTTTGAGATGATCGAATGTAAGGTTGATTGTTTTTGAGATAATTAACAAAATCAAAAAAATTAAGAAAGCTAAAACAGAGTAATGCAGTTAAAAAAGCTTTTATTGACCCTGTTTTGGGATCTGAAAAAAAAGAAAATTACAAATAGTTTTTTTGGGGGATTTTTTTGAGTTTCAACGATTTACATCTTAGATTATCATGCAGATTACAGTGATAACCATAAAACTGTAGAATAGGAAGACGACATTAAAGTATTTCTTAAGTGTATATTTGATGTTGTTTCAAATAAAATAGCTTTACTTATAAGTTATTTTTTCACTTATAAATTGAAATGGGCCTATTTACACTGCACAATTGCACAATTACTGTGCCTTATATTCATTGGACTAATTAAAGTCAAAACTTGAGGATAAAACTCGTTTATACCTTTGAGAGTGCGGTTTGGCATCTAGTGGAGTAGTTTTCCATCTCGGTAAAAAGTGTGCTTAGGTTTAGAGTTGCCTCTCTGTAAGTAAAAATGGATATTGGACCGTTATTAATCCATTTTTGAAAATTTTGGACATTTTTATGTCTACTAAATATTTTTGTCAACAGTGTATACACCCTTCAATCAATCTCGGAGCAAAGGAATAGAGTCTTTGCCACAAACTTTGATTTTATAATCTATATATCTTTGCAACCCAAGCTGTAGACCATAGATATGGCGAATTATGAATTCTAGGTTAGATCAAATAATTTAAGATTGAAATATCAAAGGTTTACACAATTAGGTTGTTAAGTTATAGAGAGTCAATTCCTTTTATTTTAGATTGAAGGTTTGGAATTCCGCTGATGCAAAATGAGGGGAAGGGATTCCCTTGCTAGATTCCCAAGCACCAATTTTTGAGATTTCGATTTATGGAGTTATCTTCAATCCATAGATAAAACAGTATATATAGATTGGTATTGCACGTGCAGTACACTAGGAATTTACTTGCCACTGATTCTATCCAATAGCTCTTGAAATACTGTTTAATCTATACATACAGTACGAGATGTATGTATATTTAGACCTCAAATAATCTATATATCCAGTACAAGATGTATGTATATTTAGACCTCAAATAATTTATATATGCAGTACAAGATGTATGTATATTTAGACAGCTCAAATCAAACAATTGTTTTAAAATATCTGACGTTTCATTGATTACACAAATTCAGATCACAACATTCCTTTTTAAACTTATGTATCATAGTTGCAGAAAAATGATTCACATCACAACAATTAACAAAGCAATAAAGCATGTTTATTGTATAAAGTTATGAATGGAGTTAAATTTTAATAGACAAATATTGTACTGTAGTCCATGCCCCCACTCAAAGGTTTGTTGTAAACATCAAAATGGTGACTTAAACGTACTCTATATTTCCTACCGAACTTTAGCTAGACCCAAGGAGTAAGGAATAGAAGGGAGATATAACTGACGCGGTTCGCCCTACCATATGATTATGCGTGCTTTGCAGACGGTACTCCATTTATATAAGAAATATTCAGAAAAGGTTATTGTACACGCAGTAATTGTACATCAGACAAACATTTCTAATATAAATGGAGTACCGTCTGCTAAGCATGTATAATCATATGGTAGGGCGAACCGCGTCATTTATATCTCCCTTCTATTCCTTACTCCCTGGCTAGACCCCATTTCTCAAATGTTACCGTACAATCTATACCTAATCAAGCGTACATTGCTACCCCCCACTTATAGCCAAAGTTTAACTTAGACCAGCTAGAAAAAACATTAGCAAACAATGGCGGCCATATATTGAACAATTTAAATTCTCTATTGTAAACATTCAAAATATCGAGCTATATTATATTGTTAATAATTTTAGAATTAACAGTGGTATTACGGTGTTAAAGATTTAATTCAAATTCTAAAATGATTTAACAAGGCCGTGCATGGGGGGGGGGGTTGCGAAAGAGAAAACCTCGGATTTGTAAAGGACAAATTAAAAAATATTACTTTACATACCTGTGGGAATGGCAGCTTACATTAATTATTCTTGAACCTGAAACTCAGCTGTTAATCAAAATTTTAAAACCGTCATTCTCAGAACAGTTAAAAAATTTGCGAAATTGTATTTTCTGAAAAAAAATAATATTACTGGGAGTTTTGTAAAACATTCAACTTTTCATATTTCCAGGATAAATTACTTGATAAACGAAGCAGAAAATTGTTTGATGCAGCTAAAGTTTGTTTAATTTTATTCTTTAAATTTGTCAGAGTTTAGTTTAATGCAGAAAAGTGTCTGGGAAAGTTCTGTAATAGATGCCAGCTAACCATAGAGAATAGAATATATATTAGAGAGGAATTAAAAGAATCTCTCGGTATGAATTTTTTTAGTCCCTTTCAGCCTGAAAGGGAGTTCAAAGTGTACAAATCATGTAAATGTTCACAAATTATATGCAGTAGAGTACATTAATACGGTGTGTTCCCTAGACTATTCATTTCAATTTCGAATTTTTTAAACTGTTAAATAAACTTTATAATGAATTAGTTGAATAAACACATCATTTGATTTATAGTTATAACGGAAAATCATCGTTTGTAAAGTGGAAGGCATAGATTCTATGTGAAATGATCATTGGTCAATTATGAAACCAGCCTATTTCATAATTTGGTTTTCTTTTAACAATAATTTTAGATTTTCTATATAATGATATTCCAGGGCCCAAAAGGTTATATAGCATAAATATGTGAAGTACACCTGCAGTATGGAAACAGTACAACAAAATGGCGGTTTTACACTGTTTTCCATTAAATTCCTCTCTATATATTCTATTCTCTATGCAGCTAACCCAGCTCTACTAGCTCTACCAGCTCAGCATTTTAAGAGAAACAATTTCCAACTAGAAATAAAGAAAAAGGAAGAAATTAGAAAAGAAAAGAAAAAAACAACTGTATTAAAAATTACCAAAACGTTAAAAATTTTTGAATAAAAAGTAGATTGCCATTGCTTAAATTTAGTTTCTATCTCCAAGAACGAGTTCACACCTTTGAAGAAAATATGCTAACATTGAATTATAAAATGTCTGAAAACAGCAGATTTAGTTATATTACTAGATGTGAAAAATCAAATAAAATCTTTTTTGCAAAACATAAAATGGCTGAAGACAGCTAACTAAACTAATGGATTTACTGACAAAAACTCCTCGTGATTTGATATGTGAACAAAAGGTTTGAAAACAGCTGATTTGATTTAAAATGTCCGAAAACGGCGGATAAAATCAAATGTTCAGCTGATATGATAAAAATGTGGGAAAACAGCTGATTCCTGGTGCAGAATGTTTTATCACAGGGAGCAATAAGAAGGTCATTAGGTACTGGGAGAGGTAGTTCACGGTCAACTTAAACAATAACATCGTCAATATCTTCATTTTGAAATTGATCTTTTGCCTCCTATACTTAAACGTTGATGTTGAGATTATACAGTCTAAAACAGCGGTTCTATTTTATAATTCTTCATCTTGATCTTTCATCCTTTATCATGTTCTAGTTCTCGAGTTTTATAATCTAAAGATAAAAAGAAAAAGAAGGGATTCAGCTCTGTTAAAAAGATTCCAAGAACTTATCTCAACTTTGGTCAAACAATTTAATATTTAATTTCTTTTATCTTTTTTTCCAGAATTACATTAAATGGCTAAATTAGATTCTCTGCCTCCTGCAACCTGATATTTGATCAAATATGTAGGTTAAGCTATTAACTTGACATAATACTTAAACGTACTCT